TACATTTATTATAACAAAGTACAAATTTATTTCAAATAACAACAATACATCAATATAAACAATGTATCTAAGATATAATACATTCTAACGAATTATAAAAGTTAAAACTAAACCTGTAACAGACAAGAAAATCAATAAAATTTCAAAGAAAATACATTAATTATACATAAACTGTCATACCATTATTATTTAAATGCAACATTAGGGAGAAAAAAGCCTTCCTAACCTTCTGTGGCCTCCGCATCTCCCCTTATAGCCACCCTATCCACCCAAAACGAACACTAATTTTGAAAGCGTAAACAAATAATTAATTTAATTTAACAATTATACCAAAAAATCAATTTAGAAACATTTTAAATATCAACCTAAGTTATGATTATATAGATATAACAGTTTATGCAGTAAAAAAGAAAATGCCTGTAAGAGAAAGACAAGAAAACATATAAATTACAATAAAAAGCAAAAAAGAAAACGACGTCTTCGTTCTTCTTAGGAAATACCTCATAATCTGAAAGCGAATAGTGCAATTACAAGGACTAACGACAAATACTAATAGCTTTGGTAGAGAAGATCGGACAGATTTCGCCAAGGCAAGCTGGGCAGTCGCCTATTGCTCCTATTCCAGATAACCCACTGTACCCTGTCTGAAAGGAAGTAACGCTAGAGTAGACTCGCGAAAAGTGTATAAGACACTTTTAAGATCAACTAAATAGCTAAGCCCAAGGGAAGTNACTTCAATAATAAATGTCCTAGAGCACTAGACAAAATGAATGATCTATAATATATAAATGAAAGATCTCAGCATTTTGTGTTCATCAGAAAAGAGTGCAGGTCACATGGTTCACGCGTGCGTGGCTAAAACGTGCGCCTTAAGAATAAGTGCATTTTTGGGAAATGTTTGGGCGAAAAGCTTTGAGTTCGTATCCAGCTTTTCGTGTATATATCGTCGTGACCGGATTCTATTGAAAGGTACATGTATTTGTATTTGTTGAGAAAATTCAGAAATATCGAAATGCTTCACTGTGAAGCTATCCACAGGAGTATCTCGAATAACAAAAACATTAATTGCAAGTACCGCGTGGGTAGTCTTTTCGGAATATTCCAGACACTAATTTGATACACCATTTTAGTGCTTTAAATACATTTTTTTTATACATACTACTCATTGTAATTGCAAAGTTGCACAAAGCGATCAATGGGGACTCTAGTTAGTAAATACGTATACATATATCTATTAAAATTTTTATTAGAACAAAATTTGTCTGTTGCCAATGTTGAACTTTTCAATCTTAGAGACGTTATTGCAGAATTTGTGAGAAAAAAGATTTTTTTGGTATCGCAATGTAATGTTGCAGAAAAAAAATACCCTCTTAAATCTCGTCTTTTATTTTACTCTCTTTCTTGCTATCTCGCCCTTTTTTATCGTTTCGTCGTACTTTATTCGTTATTAACATTTTTATATGACACTATAATCAGTAAATATTAAGATGTTATGGTACACAGTTAAAGAAATAGTATCCTTATTTTACCTTTTTTCCAATTTTTACATGAATAATATTGAAAGCTATTACTAAATGAAACGAACTATTAATAATAAAAAAAATACACGTAATGTTTTACACGACTGTGGCATAGACAATAAGGATAGTTTTTTCAACTTATCTACAAATAGATATTCTTTTTTAAGAATATTAATATATGATATTAGCAACGATGAGACAACAAGAACATGTTTTCCTGATAATACTGGTGTATTAACGAACAATGAAATACAACTGAAGAAAAAACCGGCATTTGCCATATTGCGAGAAGAAAATCACACATCAAATATTTATTAATTACATTTATTTAATTATTCTAAGTCATTCTTTGTAAGTTTCATCTTAATTTAAATTTTTAGTTTGTAATATGAGAAAAATGTAACTCTAGTAGGTAGTACTTCGTAAGAAATGAGTTAATGTAACAATCCTTTTAGACGCTGCTGTTCTTCCATAATTATACGAAATATATTTCATATGTAAAAAAAATATTATGTATTACACAAAAAATATTTTTCCGTTTATCATGCTTAATGAGACAGTTTCTTATTTATTTTTTTTAATTTGTAGAATGAATCGAATGATACAACAGCACCGAAAAGTGTTGAGGAGAAGTTAACGGGGCAGCTCAGCATTCCTTTTGACAGGAATCGAACGAAACCTCCAGACACCGTTTCACCGCATCAGTTTCTGTTGAGGAAAAACTCATTATCCCTTCTGGATCCAGAGGCAACTTCCATAGCATCTCTTCTGGACCTCACGCGACAGGATTACGAAGTAAACGCACCTGTTAAAAGCCTCATATTGCAGGGAGAAGAATTGCTCAAAGCCTTGGAAGGTAGTCCTCACCTTGCTGGTGTCCAGTAAAGGTAATAGGAGGTTCGAATTCGGTGTGTAATATACATATATACATATACGACAGTAAGTAAATGGTAAGATGTTAAAAATAAACTGGTTAAAGTACTAGGCTACGGTTAAATTAATTAGGAGGTGATGCAACTGGCAAGGGACTGTACACGTACACTGGTGTTGATTGAACGTTTTATGGAGTTTTGTCTTAATGCTCTCTCTGTATACAAAAATGTGAACTATCAATGTTACATATTTTGCTACAGGACCATCGTATTACCTCCAAGACTTTTTGTACACAGAATAATTATATCATAATACATATTATCTAGCATTTGGTAGAATAAGAATAACTCATTATAATAATTTTTGGTACTCTTACTGCCATATGTAATAACTATTGTTAATTGAAAAGTTTATTAATCCATTTCTTTGTTGCTATTCTAAACTATTTGATTAGTTAACGTTAAAAAAATTACATATATATTATTATATGCGGAATTGTTTTCCGAATTGGGTGTTATTTAGATCTGCATAAGTATGTTTGTAAAATAAGTGCATATATTATTTACTTGTAAAAAATTTATCAAGAACTTTTAACCGTCAAGGACATTTTTAACATATAAAAATGTTCGTTAATGTAATATGTCCCTCAACTTGGTATAGTAGGTCGGGATAGAAAAGAAAATATCGCCATAAGATGTTATTTTCTTCTAAATGTAAATAAAGTATGTTTTAATTACTTTGTGTGATTTTTAAAATTTTTAAAATCATTCAAAGGTAAAAATACAAAATAAAAAATTGAAAGGTAAGTTTGTGGAATCATCTTCAGCGCAGTCCCTTTCCTTATTTAATCTAAAGTCCCCTTAATCTCCCCTGCCTTTCTTCTTCTATTTCTTCTTTCTTTCTGTGGAATATAATTCTTAAATTTTAAAATTTATACTTGTAATTTTGCTTTTTGCGATAAGGAATTTTCTTCTTAACTATTCCTTCTATATTCGTGGAAGAAGGATCTAAACTTTCCCTCACTGAAAGCTGTAAGTACAGCTCAGTTTTTAACAACTGCGTCTGATACCTTTTCATCAAGAAGAGTCAATGTTGTAAGCAGAAACATAAAAAGCATGTGACTTGTGAAAGCCGACTATTGAAGCTTTCGTTCTACAACTCAAGGTAAGACTTCATTGTTCCCTATTTATTTAAATTGAAAAAAAAAAGTAGTATTAGAATTAGAAACAGCTTAGCAATATATACTATTATTAAAAAGAGAAGATAATTATGTTGAAACAATTCCACGTCTTTTCCGTTAATTCAATTTAACTTAGTGGGTGAGAGGAATACGGATAGTAATAACAGTAAATTAATTAAATATGTCCAGCGGTACATTTATAAGGTGGCGAGCGCATAACGCTTCTTTATACAATAGCCCCAAATTGTCCGCTATATTGTTAGTGATTTAGGTAATTGCCAGACTTCAGTTTATCCATTTTTTAAAACACGTTTGGCGTTTATAGCACCACTACAAACGTACTAAATCTATCATGTTTTATCTATGTTTATGATTCATCTTGTCTCGAAAGTGAAAGTAAACCCACGCCACGTCGCCATTTTAATATTTAGAATTTTACAATTTTACTTGCTTTTCTGTGCGTGTTTTTACTCATTATTATGGTTTATTTCTTTATTACGATAGTTAATTTGCTTGTTCCTCATTTCTACAGACTGAAGGTACATGAGAGAGGAAATCGAAGTTCATTCTGATGCTACTGAAGAAACAAGTAGTCTTATGGTGTTCTTGCTATTAACTATTCATCTTGGGTATGCTGTAGTTAATTAAGGTGAGCATACAATCTATTAAATCTTTATATAGTATGTATTTGATATCGACAAAGAAAAAGATTCAATATTACTTTTACATTATATTATGCAATATTTTTTACTATTTGGGAAGCAAAGTTAATTATATCTGAATACTCTTTCATAAAATTACATTTTACTAGGACATTATGAAAACTGCGGGTACCATTAAGTTATGGAGCATTGGTTGTATCAGTCCTCATTCGCTCCAGAAAGTAGGTCTATCTATGATCCTAAATAAAGCATGAAAATGCCTCTTTTCCATTGGGTATGGAGACAGTGTGTTGTTGCTAAAAGAAAGGATTTATGTCATGAATGTGGTAAGTAACAGTATCAATTAAAAATGGTAATGATGTCCTAAAAACTCCAATTTCTTACACATTTGCATCTTAATTTCAATATACAATTTTTAAATAACGTTGCATAAAATGCAGCAACAGAACAGCAGAATTAATATGGAACGTAACCTTTCTATCATTATGTTAATGTTAGCTTAATGCAAACTTAAGTACATTTTGGTATGAATGTATTTGTAGGAAAAGGAGCATCAAATATGTAAACTTTCAGTATAGCAGGTGTTTATTTTACTTATTAATGTATGGTACATTGTGTATCTGTTATTTTGTCCATTATGTGACTCTAAATTTACCATCACATNGTAAATTTAGAGTCAGGTAAGTTTGTGGAATCATCTTCAGCGCAGTCCCTTTCCTAATTTAATCTAAAGTCCCCTAAATCTCCCCTGCCTTTCTTCTTCTATTTCTTCTTTCTTTCTGTGGAATATAATTCTTAAATTTTAAAATTTATACTTGTAATTTTGCTTTTTGCGATAAGGAATTTTCTTCTTAACTATTCCTTCTATATTCGTGGAAGAAGGATCTAAACTTTCCCTCACTGAAAGCTGTAAGTACAGCTCAGTTTTTAACAACTGCGTCTGATACCTTTTCATCAAGAAGAGTCAATGTTGTAAGCAGAAACATAAAAAGCATGTGACTTGTGAAAGCCGACTATTGAAGCTTTCGTTCTACAACTCAAGGTAAGACTTCATTGTTCCCTATTTATTTAAATTGAAAAAAAAAAGTAGTATTAGAATTAGAAACAGCTTAGCTATATATACTATTATTAAAAAGAGAAGATAATTATGTTGAAACAATTCCACGTCTTTTCCGTTAATTCAATTTAACTTAGTGGGTGAGAGGAATACGGATAGTAATAACAGTAAATTAATTAAATATGTCCAGCGGTACATTTATAAGGTGGCGAGCGCATAACGCTTCTTTATACAATAGCCCCAAATTGTCCGCTATATTGTTAGTGATTTAGGTAATTGCCAGACTTCAGTTTATCCATTTTTTAAAACACGTTTGGCGTTTATAGCACCACTACAAACGTACTAAATCTATCATGTTTTATCTATGTTTATGATTCATCTTGTCTCGAAAGTGAAAGTAAACCCACGCCACGTCGCCATTTTAATATTTAGAATTTTACAATTTTACTTGCTTTTCTGTGCGTGTTTTTACTCATTATTATGGTTTATTTCTTTATTACGATAGTTAATTTGCTTGTTCCTCATTTCTACAGACTGAAGGTACATGAGAGAGGAAATCGAAGTTCATTCTGATGCTACTGAAGAAACAAGTAGTCTTATGGTGTTCTTGCTATTAACTATTCATCTTGGGTATGCTGTAGTTAATTAAGGTGAGCATACAATCTATTAAATCTTTATATAGTATGTATTTGATATCGACAAAGAAAAAGATTCAGTATTACTTTTACATTATATTATGCAATATTTTTAACTATTTGGGAAGCAAAGTTAATTATATCTGAATACTCTTTCATAAAATTACATTTTACTAGGACATTATGAAAACTGCGGGTACCATTAAGTTATGGAGCATTGGTTGTATCAGTCCTCATTCGCTCCAGAAAGTAGGTCTATCTATGATCCTAAATAAAGCATGAAAATGCCTCTTTTCCATTGGGTATGGAGACAGTGTGTTGTTGCTAAAAGAAAGGATTTATGTCATGAATGTGGTAAGTAACAGTATCAATTAAAAATGGTAATGATGTCCTAAAAACTCCAATTTCTTACACATTTGCATCTTAATTTCAATATACAATTTTTAAATAACGTTGCATAAAATGCAGCAACAGAACAGCAGAATTAATATGGAACGTAACCTTTCTATCATTATGTTAATGTTAGCTTAATGCAAACTTAAGTACATTTTGGTATGAATGTATTTGTAGGAAAAGGAGCATCAAATATGTAAACTTTCAGTATAGCAGGTGTTTATTTTACTTATTAATGTATGGTACATTGTGTATCTGTTATTTTGTCCATTATGTGACTCTAAATTTACCATCACATCACATTAAAATATTCCTTATTTACTTTCATTAAAATTGGTAATTGATTATTTTTTCTTGCCCGTTTTTGTAGATGGTTCATGAGAAGGAATTCCAGTTAATTTTTAATGCTAATAAAACAACCGATGCTTTTCACGCAAGGGAGAGACAACTGGAAATTAATTTGGAAACCACTAAAACAACAGATTGTCTGGAGTGATATCCCCTTTAGAACGCTACTTACTGCAATTAACTAAGGTGAGAATTCATAACGTGCTATTACCCTATTAATATGGTTTATCTATGGTATTCATTTTAACATTTATCTATTGTCCGCAGCATCTATAGTATTTCATTTAACAGTTATCTATGATTATTTCACATTTATATGTCAAATACGATCTGTCATGTAAGCTCGACGCTTGTCGCCCTTTTATAATTCGACTGTTTTACTTGTTTTTTGGTCCGTTTTTAGGTGTTCTTAATCCCTTTCTTAATTAATAGTGTAACTAATATGATTTTTTGTCCATTTCTGCAGATTATCCAAGAAAAGAGAGAGAATTAAAGTCAGTTTGGTTATACTGAAACAGCCAGCCAATGTCTACATGGGTGTGGTCTTTCGTGGATTATATTCTTGATTTGCTGTTTTGTCTTCACCTTACCACACTATACAGTCAATTTTCAACCGCCGAGTGAGAGCAACTGGAGATTTTTTTGAGTTCCTCTGAAAGAACAAATTTTCTGCTGTGGTGTTCCTCCTGGTTTTAGTGTGCTTTTCACACATACAAACTTTGGAATTTTACAGTCTACAGTTAATTAAGGTGAGAATACTTGATATAATTAATTTTAATTGCTCTGCTCTTTATTAATCTGTTACCACCGTATCTGTTTCAGTTCGACGTTGGAGAAGACAAAGATGACCCCATAGTTGAAATAGTTCTTTATCTTGCATGCTCTATCTGGTAGAATTCATTAAGTTGATTTTATTCAAATTAATTTTTTATTTTGCATGGTTTTTGCAGTTCATTTTATTTGAATTAGTTTTTTATTTTGCATGCTTATTTTTGTTCATTTTATTTGAAGTAATTGTTGATTGTAGATGTTTTTATTATTTTTTTTTTATGTAGTAGTAGAAATAACACGTTTAGTAGTTGTAGTACAGTCTAACATGTCTCTTGCTTACCTCTTCGCTTAGCTTACTGCATATTCTTACTATAAATTGCTTTGCATTTACCCTACGAGTTCTACATGATTCAACGTTTCGTTATCGTGTGTGTTTCTTCTCACCCTTGTGGAATTAGGGAGGGCCTCCCCGAACGACTTCCCTTGGGCTTAGCTATTTAGTTGATCTTAAAAGTGTCTTATACACTTTTCGCGAGTCTACTCTAGCGTTACTTCCTTTCAGACAGGGTACAGTGGGTTATCTGGAATAGGAGCAATAGGCGACTGCCCAGCTTGCCTTGGCGAA